CATCCTTGTTGCCTCATTAAAAACCTTGCTAGGAAAACCCAATGGGACAAAACCTCAGCCAAGGGAAAAAGAGTACAACGCGTATTTCATATATTCACCATAATAATCTTTCCATAATTTGCATGAGTATCATATAAATTCTTTCGGATTTGTAGATACTGATGGTATTCACGACAATATGTCATATCATGCTTTGTGCAATTTTTATTCTTAAACTCATTCTCATCAATTGATTTCAATGGTCTTATTGCCAATAATTTCCAATATTCACATTTCAGCTGATTTCATTTTCGACAATATTATTTATATAGCGCTATTCATTTGTTTATGTCGACACTTATTCATCTCCATTATTCTCCGTAGTATATTGAGATATCTCATTATCAATTGATTCCATCAATGGTTTATATATGCCTCCTTTCATCACATATTTGGGGGATTTCAATTTGCACAATATCAACGCTTCCAGCGTATTATTCCGCCAACATATCATTTCATATATTTCACATCATCAGTATCATACAGTTTATGATTCGCACACTCTCAGTGTGATGCATATATCATTTCCAAATTTCAATCATTGATTCTCCCCCTCATCTTAACAGATCCCTGATCTGTATTTTTGGTATTGAATTTCTTGAGGGGAGTTCATATAGTCTCTATTTTGTTCTCGATTTCAACATATATTTGGAGGACTTTGAACTCATATCATTTGTAGTGTGCACATTCTTCTTTCAAGAGTTCATCATATCTGGTGAGTATATTACTAGCTTCATCACTTTCATATGACACTTATTTTCATTCTTTCATAATCATCTTGTGTCATCCTTAGATCAAACCATCTCGTAACTTCAGGTTATATGTCATATACACATTCTTTGATCAAATCATCTCGTAACTTCAGGTTACATGTCATATACACATTCTTTGATCAAATCATCTCGTAACTTCAGGTTACGAATCACACACATGTGGCTATCTAGTGGATCCATAATATCTAGTAGCACACATGGAGGGGTAGTGGGCCCATATATATCGTACCCCTTTCATACTCAGATTGATCATATATCGATTCACAAATATTTAGCTAGTAATATTTTTCACTAATCGGGAACAAGCATCTCATATCACAAAGAATAAGTTCATCATGTAAACCATCATCAATAATATCGGTAAGCATTTTTAAAGTGATCACAATAATTCGTTGTGACATGTTTATCACAAACATTTCACATCATCTTTCGGCGGCAATAAATGCACTTTAAGTGTGTGCTCTGGCAAAATGTCTTTTAGCCACTGTTTAAATCCAGAATCGTGTCATGCCGTCTGACACACATACTTTTGAACACTGTTTAAGCCCAGAGTCGTATCGCATACGCATCATGTTTTTCTATAAATTATCAGGTAATTCATTCAATTTTCTTTAACAAAGGTCCGAATTTACAAATGGATTTAGCACTCTCAAATATCCGTAAATATTATTCTTTTCTTCCGAAAAATATCATAAAAAGGATTTATCGATCTCGATTAGAAAGATTGAGGATGCTAATGAATAATGGTATTCCAAATGATGTTAGATGGTTGATCGAAGCACAAGTTCGATTGTCTGGAGAGTTTCCAAATTCATATAAATATATGCCAGGTATGGGTAAAAGTACTTATGCAAAGAAACGAAGAGCAAAAAGGTTAGGTGGATGCTTCAAATGCGCTCGATGGACTTGTGACACACGATGTATATCTGTGGGGTACGTGTCCAAAAATCGAGAAGATAAAATAACGTTTATAAAGGATGGATTGAGTAAGGAGTCTTTGGATCAAACGATTCAACAGATTCTTGAGACACATCCTAGTGGATACGTGCATCGTGAGCTTATGTCTTTATGGATTCAGTTCAAAAATGAAGAAGAACGTTATAGTCTCGAAAATATTATTTCAAAAGATCAAGTTTGTAAAACTGGTCTTGTTAGTACGAAAAATCATACTAATACAGTTTAGTATGTTGTACTGTAATTTTCTAGAAAAACTTATAGTTGCCGACAGATAAGATTTATTTAAAACCCAACACCTTATCTGTCAGTTGCAATTGTCAGAAGAAAACAGTAAAATTATTTATTGCTTTGTAAAACTTTCTATTTAAATAGCGAGTCGTTCATCATAATCATATGCCTCACAAAGTTTTGAAAAATTCAGTTTATCAATAAATAGATGGATGTTTCAGAGTCTTCGCAAGGTAATAATTTTCTTCAACCGATCAAAACCATATGTGTTCTTGGTGGTTCTAAACTGGTAAGTTTTTCTCAAACTATTGATATTGTAAGTCAGTTAGTCAAAGAGATGGGGAATCAAAAAATCAATTTGCTGTATGGAGGGACTAGCAATACTTTCTATGATAGTCTCTTAATGGCTGGACAATGTTTTGAGATAGAAGTGAAAAGTATCATACCTTTTCGTAGAGCTTCAACAAAGGTCGTCAAGGATTCCACAAGCATGATGTTAACTCATTCCATTCATGATTGTATGATGGATATGGTGAACAATAGCGATGCTTTTATCATTCTTCCAGGCGGGTATGGAACGCTAATGACAATGTTCACCATTGCTTTATGGGCAGAATTGAAACTTCATAACAAGCCCATAGGTCTATTGAACTTTAATAACTTCTTTCATGGTTTGCTTGGATTTTTAGACATAGGAGTATATCAAACCTTTATATCTCCTTCAATGAGAGAAGTATTCAAATCTGCTGACACGTCTGCTGAACTTATCAAAAAGCTTCAAGAATGCATCACATTTCAAGATTCTGTGGAAACACAAGGGGTCAAGCGAAAAAGAGCTTTTGATCCTTTAGATCTCTCATTATGAACCCAGATATTATTCAAATATGAACCCAGATATCATTCATGGGTGGCAGAGTTACGGAGTTTTACACTCTCGAGACGCACCCTTCTTTTATGGGTTCTATTATGTAATCTTTGCGTATTTTGTATTCATCGAGTATTTACTGCCTCTTTTCCATATTTCCACCATCTGAACATTTTGTACTTGTTTCTCAGTAATAATAATATCAATTTCGATTTTTCTCAGTGTATAGTAGTTCATGACTACAATCATTATCATTTTTGCTTCTTCCGGAGCATTTTATTGTAATATCTGTATGATCTCGTATCCCAATGTGATCTCGTCATCTGATATAGCCCCTTAGACTTATATAATATATTGAGAAATCATTTTTGTGTGATCACCCATAGCTGGTAGCTTTTGATACCACTTTCTCATTTTGTTCAATCATCCAATGGTAGCTTCTAGTACCATTTCATCAATATTCATATCTCCATAAATTTGGAGAATTTATCAACTGATACTTTAGGACCAAGTTAGTCCATATAATGTTTGTTCATGACAAGGACTTTAATTAACTTTCACATGGCCAGAGTATCATTAATTTCACTCATCGGCTATCACTTATTAGTACTGTCTGTCGCCGGCGGTAGAGCCGCACTGGCCGGCCTATGTATAGCCATTCATTTGTTGCACGTGGCCTTGCCACTTGGCCATTCCATATCACCGGCTATCATTAATAAATACATTTATCATTTGGCCATCACTGGTCATAATTATTCCATATACTGGCCGAGTCACTTAATTGTTCAAATCTTCTTTTGTATTGTCTATTTCGGTGGATACACTACTTGGCCATTTCACATGATTTTTCATATTTCAATAGTTGACCCGTCGGCTACCATTAAATATCACCTGTCGGCGGCAAAGCTGCACTAGCCGGTCTTGTAGCCACACATATTTATTTTCATATCACAAGGGTCATTCCACGTATATCCACATGTTCCCGTATCGTAATAACCAATCCGTAAATATTCACCAATATGCCACAATATTTCCACAGCAACAAAAACTTAAATATTTTATGATAATAATATATCTTATTTTATTAAATCACATCAATATTGGTCTCTAAATGATGCTCTCATTACCCCAAACATTATGATATTATCAAAAATTAATACCACTAAAGTGTGCTTTAAATGTGTAATAAACAATGATATTTTCATATAATACATCATGCATTAGATAATGTTGTCTTCATCTAAAAATTATTAGCATGCATTTGGTGTGGTGGGTTTCGTGGACTTGCAACTTGCAAGTGAATAGTAGTTGAAATAATGTTAATTTAATACTTCTAAATTTAAAAGAAATTGAAAAATGGTAGTTGAATTTATTGGGTGATGAGTTAGTACATTGCATTTTATGTCCACACCACAGGTTTTGTCTATCAATAATTTATCCTACCACTGTAGCACATTAAATGACATTTATTATTTGTCATCATGTCTTTTTATAAATGTTGCATGCAAACAAAAATAAAACATGTGCCATGTGTTAATGCATGTATTTTCTCTACATATGTAGAGAATGAAGATAGAACTGAGAATGTATAATTCTAAAGGTAAGAAAAATTACAGAGTCAACACGTTTGTGGATTGATTATATGCCGTACCAATACCTTTATACCTGAAGCAATATTTGCTTTCTCCTGACTTCATTCCAAGCTTCTCATCTTCATGCCGCTCGAAAGAAGAGGTTATAGTAGAGCTATGAACAATAAATATTGAATCTTTGTCTTTTGATTTTCACTGAGAATTTTGGCTACTCAAAAGGTGGGAGTTTTTCTTCTCTGCTCTTTTTATTTCTACACTCACTTTTCATTTTTTCTTTTTTTTCTNTTTTCATTTTTTTTTTTTTTTCTTCCTTTTCATTTCCTTCCTCGCCTTTTGATTTTCATTTTTGGGAAAAAATAGTACTTTTGTTTTATGGTTCCTGATTATGGTGGGTGTCAATTGAAGCATATTATGTGCTGAAGAAGTAATTGAAATGGCTAAATGCAGAGCATGAAAATTCAGAAGTTCCCTATGAGTGATAGGAAAAAATTGCTTGGTGAAATTAACGATTTTGTAACACTTAGATTTCTGATACAGAAGATCATCTCTAAGATGCAACTATAGAGCATACTCTCATCATATTACAAATCGAGCCCTAGAGGGCAGAGACTCGTGCTGATAACGTGTTATAAAACTAGAGAGAAAGAGAGAGAATAGAGAAAATGTATTCTCTTAGGTACAATTTTCATTATAACTGAAGGTCCTATTTATAGGAAACTTCTCATGGCACAACTCGTAATAATACAAATACATCGAGGGCAAAATAGTCATTCACATACATTATTTTATTATTTCATAACAAATTGCACATTTGCACGCCTAAGTTATTTATATTACATTATAATTTCTTTTTTACTTTTTATAAAAAAATGATTATCTTGTTTTGGGGCAAAATTGCATTTAACTTCAACAAATAAACGAATTTACACATTCCTCCCCCATTTCAAAAACCGGTATCCGGCAGGCGATCCATAGGCCCCGTTGCTCCTTCACGGCGATTCCCTGGCGGCGCTCTTCAATTTCCAGGTCTCTTTCTCTATCTGTCTCCAAATTCTGAGCGTGAGCTATCATTTTCTACGGTGTTTTACGGATTGGGTTCATACACCATTTCAAATGAAAGCCACATTCTTTGAGCTGTTAGTGAAAATCTACTTCAGAAACCGATCTGTTGCACAATAGGGTTTATGCGTTTAGTTACCACAGTTCAACTCAGACCTCCATTGTTGTACGACCTTCGTGTTCAAGTTTCTGATGAAATTCCTAATTTTTCCGCAGTGAACTACCATTTTTCCCCTTTTGAATTTGACTTATATTTTTTGGTACCTTTGGCGTATTCGAATTCTCACCATCATCTTTTTTATGTGGTTTTTTCTGTGGGTGAAGGTTTTTGAATTGGGGCTTGTAAGGTTCAAAACAAAGGAAGAGGAGAAAAGAACTAAAAATAAAAATGAGTGAATTTGGTGGGGGATCTGATCCTCCATCTCCCCCTATTTCAATCACCTCGTCTGAGTCGTCCATGAGCAGTGGCTTTGATGCTAATCGAATTGCAGAGGTGAAGGCATGGCTCGTTTCGCAGTTTGATGCAGCCGGGAAAGACGTGCCAGATTTCGAGTACACTCCCCGGAGCATCTCTCACTTGCACAATATAGCCACCCTTTCGCAGGCCAAAACTCAGGCGGCCACCATTGTGGCCGGTGATTTCCGTCAGAAGGCTGCCGAGTATCGTTCTCAAGGTCTCGATTCTGGATTTTAACTGTTTTTACATGATATTGTTTGTCTTGTGTAGTTTGGTTTTGTATTAAGCTAGTATTATGGTAAAATTCTATAAACAACGAGGCGTCTTAATTGCGGAAGATTGCCGGGTTATTTCTCTAACTAGCCCAAATTTTGTTTTTTTCTCACTTATGGAGCTTGTTCTTTGGTGTTATAATGAGAGTTATATGCTTGATTTCATTTGGTATTTTTGGGACTTTCTGAAATAGAAATGTATCTCGGCTTTATTTGATGTTTCGTTTATGCTTTGATTTGTGTGTAGTTGCTATTAGGTATTGTTTGGTAGTGATCCTTGTCATGTCTGTTGATGTTTTNAATGATCATAGCTGCTAGGATAAGAGAGATACTAGAGCATGTGGGATTGGCACAAGAGAGTTTGCCGTCGAATGTGGTGTCGTCTTCCCAAGTTCTTGCGAATGTTGCAAATCTGTTGAATATTAGGGATACAGAACTAAGTAGGTGGGTTATTTTTCTCCTTGTTTTTTGTTAATGCTGAATAATGGGAATTATCTTTAACTTACACGGGGACACTGTTATAGTTTTCTTGTGGCAATGGCGGATCTATCCCTGAGAAAAACGGCAGTAGAAGAGAAAAGAGCCAAAGTACAGAAGGAGTCCAAGGAACTTCTCGACTATACTCGAAAGGCAATAGCAAGATTGACTTATTTGAAAAGGTTTATCTATAGTTTCTTACTTTCTGTTGAAATTTTGTTTTTTCGCCTGCTGCATTCTACCATTTTTTTAATTATTTTATTTTCTTGTTAGAACACTTGCACAATTGGAGGATGATATAGCTCCTTGTGAAGCTCAAATGGAACACTGGAAAACAAATTTGGCCATAATGGAATCAAAGGAAAGACAGTACCTGCAGCAGTATTCTAATTATAAGGTATAAATTTATTATAATACAATCGGCCATCAGGCACGAGTTATATGTTGATTGCAGCATTGCCCCTATAGATCAATATCACCGTCTGATAACTGAACGACCTTTTACTTGTTACTAGTAAATATTTATTCATTCACTCTTCATATTCTCAAGATCAACCAACACGCTTGCTTTTTCCTTATTTTTTAATTTATTGTGCATAATTCTGTGTTGAGGCAGTCAACAAAAAAGGAAATTTGTTTTATAAATTCCCTTCTTATCTATATGTTTTTAAAATAAGATTACTTACGAGATCTATTATCACTTTTTGCATGTCCTCATAAATTGACAATAGGTACGAAATCTCCTAATTTATGACCTACCATATAATCTGTTGTATAAACGGGCAAATGTTCCTTACCATTGTGAACGGCAATCGTATGCCAATCGTTGTAGGTATAATGGTAGATGCGCGGGACCACGTTACTATTATGTTTTTATTAATTTTATCAATTTTTCTTAATAGATGGTTGGCTACGAAAAAGNNGGTGAATTTATCTTTTTATCTCAGGCATTGCTCAATCGTGTGGGATATAGCCCTGAGATTAGTCATGGGGTGTTAGTTGAAATGGCTGAGCACCAGAAGGACCTGGAGAAGAAAACAAAACCAATACTCGAGACACTTAGAAGCTACCAGGATTTACCCCCGGTACTTACTTTTTCTCCTAATCACTTAAGAAAGTTACACCACTAGAATTTTCAGCTGCTATCAAAATTTGATATGTATTTAATTTAAATCCAGGACAAGGCATTGGCAGCACTTGCTATTGAGGACAAGAAAAGGCAATTTGCTGCTGCCGAGAAGTACCTTGAAGATGTGCTGCAATCTGCTCTAGCTTCTTCCGAGTGATTATCAACTATATATCAAAGGCTGAGTTTCATCTGGGTCTTGCATCTATCTTGGTTATGGTGTTGTTCTTTTTTTTTTTTTTTTTTTTTTTTTTTGGTTAAATATGAAATNAAATGATATGTTTTGCAATTATGGTTTGTTCTTTGGAAATATTTGGAGGGGAATAGAGCTTTGTGCAGTAATTTGTGGAAGAACAAATGACTTTTAGTGAATATCTATGAAAAGTACTGGCCATTGTTTTAACTATATTCATTGAGAGTTTACCTAGCTTATGTGTGTGCTCTCTCTTTCATAATGTTTTTGTCCATTTTCAGAAAATGTGTTTGTTCTCATTATAGTAACTGCTGAAATGTACTTGCATCATATTGTGGCATGCTAATAAAAAATTTCACTATATAATAAAATATTCTATTGAAACCATAGCCCAGTTTAATATTTCAAAATAAATATGGGAACACAAAAGTTACAACCCAAGGTGTAAATAAATCAGTAAATGAGATCGAGGTATGTTCGTTTAATAAGCCATATTCGAGGCTTACTGAGTCAAATAGTAGAAAATTATATAAAAAGTTATATTTCGAATTAACTAGCCATACTCGAGTCAAATCATAGAAAATTATATAAAAAAGTTATATTTCGAATTAATTAGCTATACTCGAGGCTTGTTGAGTCAAATCTTAAAATATTATATAAAAAGTATAAGAGCATGTTTGTTTATAAAAAAATTTGGGTTTGTTTGGATTTTTTGATTTGTTTAGTTAATTTTGAAAAATATGGTATGGTTAGTTGTTAGTGGGTATATTAAAATAATATTTAAAATAAAATAATTAAAATTAATTTGATTAAATGTAGGAGAGAGAGATTTGATGTGATTGTTAGTTAAAATAATGTGAGTGGATGAATAGTGAATTAAGGTTGATGTGGTGTGTATGAATTATTGATTGATATTATTTAATTATATTGATAATTTTGATGATAGTGAGGTTGAGTTAAAATTGAGTTAAAATATTATAAATTTTTTGAAAAATTTCAGAAACACATGCTATTATATTTCGAATTGTAGCAAGTCGAGTTTAAATCAAGTTATTTGTAAATCAATATTTTAAATTTGTTGGGCTAAATTAATAATCCAAATGAACCCAAACGATTTTGACTCCTCCAAAAGTTACGGCCAATTTTGTAATTGTTGTCCACTTTTCCGCCACCCTTTGAAAGACAGTCATTAATCTATCCTACATACAAATTTTAGTATATGGTTAAATTAAGAAAGTGATTTAGGGTTTTAGCCGCGTTTAGGGTTTAGCTTTCCCAACACTTGCGATTCATTTTTTCATTTTTTTTTCTTGTGGCGGCGGCCCTTCGTATAATTTCATTATTTATTATCAAAATCCGGCTTAATTACTCTGTAATTATAAATTGCCAATATTTGCGAAAATAAAAAAGTACGTATTATTTGTATTTCCAAAAGGAAAAGAAAAATATTTATGATGAATTTTTCCAGCCCTCTTTGTAAGCATTCATAGAGTTGTTTTCCTTTCGTATGATTAACGGTGAGATTGATTTTTGATAAAGCTTACTTTTTTCTGATTTTTGTGCTTTTCATTTGATTCAATTAATGTATTTGTCCGTTGTTAATTCATGTTTTTATTTTTCTTATGAATTGAATTATGTCTGATCTATTCTGATAATGTGATCCCAATAAAGAGAAAAAAATCCCAAGAACGATGAATTATTTATTTGTTTCATTATTTCAATTTTGATTTATTGTCTGAATATTTGTTTTTATTATTTTCATTTCAATTCCATACAGAAGTCCTGACATATATAATTTCATTTTTGTTCTTGTTCTGTGTTTGTTCGGAAAGCTGCAATCTTGAATAGCATTGAGATTTGATTATCATATCTTTTTGCTTTTCATTTGATTCAATTGTTTCTATTTGTCTGTCCATTGTTATTTTTCTCATTATTTCAGTTTTTATTCTGATTATCTGGTTATTTGTTTTTATTATACCGAATTGGATTTCATACTGATTTTATGAAAATAAAAATGGATAAAAATCAAATACACAGAATCCTAGACCTATTTAATTTCAGTTTTTTGCTGTTCTTATTCTGTTTATTGTTCAGAAAGCTCCAATCTTGATCTCTTTAATTTCACTTTTCGTTGTTCTTGTTCTGTTTTATGTTCAGAAAGCTCCAATCTTGATCTCTTTAATTTCACCTTTTGTTGTTCTTGTTCTGTTGTTGTTCAGAAAGCTGCAATCTTGATTATAGCATTTGAGATTTCCCTTTTGAAAACCTTAAATCAAAAAGAAAAAGAAAAAGAAGATGAGTTATCCAGATCCTTCACAGCCACCACTCCCCCTAATCCCACCCCCATTTTCCGGCGACCCCTCCGCGGCCTTCTGGCGGCCCTTTTGGGCGGCAGCCGACCACCACCACCCGCCCGATCAGCCGCCCCATTTCAAGCGCCCTCGAATCACAACCTCCGAAAACAACAACAACAACAGGCCCCTGAATCTTCCGGGCCCCACAAAGGGCACGAGCCACATTTTCTACAAAACTCGAATGTGCGCCAAGTTTATAGACGGCACTTGCAAAAACGGAGACCACTGCACGTTTGCCCACGGCCCTGACGACCTCCGGGAGCCCCCACCCAACTGGCAGGAGATTATCCGGGAGAAGGAAAGAAGCTCCGGCCAATCTTCCGGCAACAGCTGGATTGGCGGCGGCTGCTCGGAAAACGAGCAGCAGCGTTTGATTCATCGGATGAAGATTTGCAAGAAGTACTACAATGGGGAGGAGTGCCCTTATGGGGAAAGGTGCAATTTTCTCCACGAGCGGGGCCCGCCGCAGCCTCTGCCGCCACCTCCTCCTCCGGCGCCGGCGAGGAGATTCCGGCAACCTGATGTGGCGGTGGCTGCTTCCGAGCAGCGGGAGAGCTTTGCTATCAGTGTCGGTGGTGATTTTGATCAGAGGGCGTTTTGGAAGACGAGGGTTTGTAGCAAGTGGGAGATGGGGCATTGCCCATATGGGGACAAGTGTCATTACGCTCACGGGCATTCGGGTATATTTATACGATTTTTCGTGTTTTTTTTTTTTCNTTTTCGAATTAATCTTGTGTTGTTTGGTTTACGTGATTGTCTTCGCATACGAGATGGATTAATAAGTAATAAAGTGACTTTGTGAACATTCGGCTGAATAGATGTTTTCTAGCCTCGGTTTTGTTGTGACTATAAGTGTTTCCTGTCGTTTGGGGAAAAAAAAACAGAACATTTCATAACATAAGTGTGTTACCCTTATATGGTTTGCATTTGAGATTCTCCCTAAAAAAACATGAGTGTTTATGCAAAAAGATCAATGGTTTTTATTGAAAGTGTTCAACTTGTGAGTGTATTTGTCTCTCTTTTTTATTTTTCTGAATATTTTTGCATTCTATTGTTCTTTTTTATTGCAGAGTTGAGATTTGCTGGTAATAATGTGGATGAGGCAGAGCAAGTGGTGATCAATGCAAGCAATAATAATGTCTCCATACCAAGAAATAATGTATCATCTGTTTCTGGATTTAGCACACCACCTGTGAATTTAACAAGTACAGTAGTGCCCATAAACGACGATGCCGGGAACAAAAAGGCCTCGAAATGGAAGTTAACGAAAAAGATTAATCGGATTTATGCGGATTGGTTGGATGATGCGGACCCACCTAACTACTCGGGAAATGAAGATTACTGATTCATTGATTCTTCAAAGAAGAAAGAAGTAAAAAGGGAAATTGCTGATGATGCTTACAGATTTGTGCTTCTTGTTTTAGCTCCTTACAACTTTATACAGTTTGTCATGGCTCTTTTAGTTTGNAAAGCATAAATTGTTGTTTGAGCAACCTAATAATAAGCAGGTTGACCTGTCATAAAAATTATCCAATGGGATATCTTTTAGAGGAAATTACTCACAGGACGACAACAAATCCATTTATTTGTACTCTTACGATTTAATAATAACTTTTAGCGAAATTACAAAATCATGTAATTTTATTTGCAACATACGATATATTCAGTTTAGGCAACATAAATATATTATCTTCAATTAAGACAGATTTATTAGGAGCAGTTACCAAATAAATAAAAACCATCTCCATCTTTCATGCTTAATTACTGCGCATTCTCTCCTTTTATACAGGGCGACTACAAATGCGCATCTGCCAGCCATTTGTTCTTCTCATTCCGCGTCTCTTTCGGCATTATTTCTTCTCTTTCGGCGTCTCGAAGAATGAATCGTAGTTGATGGGGGAGTGGCGCGGCAACCGGCAGTTTCGGCGGCTAAAGAGAATGACTAGGATCGTGTGGCGGTCCCTTTCGGCTCATGAGTGACGGGGTCGTCGGACAGCGAACTTCAGCCGAGGACGGTGTGAACTCGATTTGTCGGGCACCTGTGGCGGAGGGTCGAGCACTGACAGAGTTTGTCCAAAGTGACGTGACGAGCGCCGTGGGCTCGTCCCGGGAAGGCGGAGCCTCAATACGCGACGACAACCCTGCTTGCGACCAGCGACGACATTTGAAGAGTTTCGATCGAATTTGTTTCAATGTTTATTTTATGTTTATGTATGTTTAGTATATTAGCATATTTCTTTTGTTGACGAAAAATGAGAAATTTATTTTTATTTTTTCGGTTGATTATTGTTTATGTTGTGTTGAATATTCATATTAATGTTTTTTTTGTTTTGTTTTTATTTGTAGTTTATTGTGTATTTATGTTTTAATTTTCGAATATTTTTTTGTGAATGGATGTTTGGTTTTTTGTCATGGTTCTTATTAGCTCTGTCGTCTGGACAAAATGGTGAGAAACTCTTATTTTGACGAGGATGTCTAAAATTAATCGTGATCTTGTTATGCGGAATAGGGGCATCTGAAGTGGTAAAAGTTATGTAAATAAAAACGCAACATATATTGAAAATATACTGATGTAAACGCAACATAAACTGAAATTATTCTGATGCCCGTCTTGCACAACATATACTGAAGATATATTGAATATAAACGCAACATATACAGAAAATATTCTTTGTCCAGTGAAAATTTAGTTATCAGTGAACTTTATCGATTTATATAAATGTATCGTTTATCCAAAGCTCAAACTCGTCGTCGTCGGTGAGTTGTGTACCACCAGCAGTTACGTACAACTCTTGTTTGCTCCCGTATAATCCCCATCGCCCTTTCCTCCACCTCTGTCGCTGAATATAAACACAACACATAAACGCAACATAAACGGTAAATATTCTTTGTCCAGTGAAAATTTAACGATTATCGGTGTGAAATTTATCGGTTTATGTAAATACACCGTTTATCCAAAGCTCAAACTCGTCGTCGCCGGTGAGTTGAGTACCAATAGCGGTTGCGTACTACTCCGTAGAACTTGCATCGCTGTCGCCCTTTCCTCCACCTCCGTCGCTGAACTGCCACCACGACTACCACCAGTACCGTACGACACCTCCTTCTTTGCGCCGCCGCCGCCGCCGCCGAATTCTCTTCACCGTCCTCGCCATCGAGCTGAGAAGCCTGATTTCTGATTTGCGGAAGTGGCGGCGTCCAAATTTCCTCATCTTAATGAAACTTTTGTTTTTTTTTATTTGTTCATGAGTTACGCAAAAGATGGAACAAAATCCTTTTTTTTTTTTTTTGGTAACTTAAAATATTGCATTAGCACGATTACAACCCGCTATAGAACGATTGAATGCAGCGAGAAACGGAAACCTTTCCATATTTCGACCTATGATTATGCTAACCTTATAGTAAAATATGTTCGCCTAGCAATTATGTCTATCTAACTTTGTCGAACCATGCAAGTTCTCTTTGCCATATTGCTAAGTTGATTTGCCAAGTTCTTTTTGCCATATTAGTTTGATCTGCAAAGTTATTATTTTTTTTTATTTTTTTTGATCTGCCAAGTTTTCTTTGCCATATGGCTAAATTGCTCGACAACTAGGAAAGTCTATCAAGCTGGCTCAATAGAGACATACCGTTTGAAAGAAAATATTTCCGCATAATAATTACAGTTTGTTCTTCAAATTAAAACTGAGTTCCTGTTATACATGATTGTGAAGATTTGAGGCAGCAACCACGTCTCTCTCAATCTACTCTTTGAAAAGTTCATGATGAAACAAGCTCATGATAGAAGTGAATATGAAAATTCATCTTAGCCATACTTGTAAGTTCTACAATACCTCTTTTTTACATTTTTAATTTCTTTAGGTTAAAAGCTAATACAAAGGGCGTGAGAATCAGAATACAATAGGAAATCAAGTACAAGGAGGGTAAAACCTTGCTCTATACAACACGAAGAGAGAAAAAGGACCGTTTGCTTCATTGGGCCATACTGCAGACTAAGGCCCAACTGTTATGGGCTAGTTGGGGACATAAAATGCTTCTTCTTTTGGTACACTCTGGCCCTTCACCTGTGCACCTGCAGTACAAAATTATGGTCATTTCACAAATTTCAATCAACACAAGTCCCTTGAGCAAACGTTTGAAAGAAAAAACAATAGCCTATTCAATCCTATCCGAGGGCACAAATTCTTGTGTGAGTGAGCCAGCCTAAACATTAGGTGCACGTCAAAGTGGATAAAAATGTACCTATACAATAAAATATCATATTTGTGTTTATGTTATTTTTAACGTATAAGATTTTCTAATAAAAGTAACCATATTTGTGGCAAGTAAAAAATGTTGGCCTAATGGTGACCGTTTAAAAAACCACTCCTAGTTAGAGAGGTTTCTGTGTACAGATGGCAAAGATTTTGCAGCAGTTAATGGAAAATCTACAATTTTGGAACACAATTTATATTTTCCAATTAAATAGGTCAAACCACAACTATCAAATCCTTAATTTAGTTCCCACCGATTTGTCCACATTTTTACTTTCGGATAGCAACATTTCAACCTCTTGTCCCAATTAATTAAACTAGATAGACCCTTGATTAAGATATCAGCAACACAATTCTGTCAAAAATACTCTTCCCATCAAAAATCAATTCTTTTGGCATCCATTTTGGTCCCATATTCCAAACTAAATACTCCAATTAAGCACCAGATATTTAAAAAGTTCGATCAATTACTAACCATTTTCAGTAATCCCCTTGGATGATTGGAGAAACTCTTCAAATTGTGCTTCCATATTCAAGATATCCTCATCCACACCAAGGTCAATGGTGTCAGGCAGCAATTGAACGACATCTTTTTCATTTTGTTCAAAGTTCCCGAAAATGCCCTCCCCCTGATGTTGGCTGATCCAGTAGTCCCTGAACCAGGTAACAGTGTTGACGAGGCTCCACCACTCGGGCGAGAAGTCCTCCACCTGGCGCACAGCTGCCGGAATGTACAGTGGTGCATTCGGGTTCAGTGTGGACCTTCCTCCGGACACAAGAGCCATGATCGACAGTCACTCAGATACGAATCAAAAGAACCTGAGAAAAAGAATACGTAACAACAAGTGATTATTTTACAGCTCTTCTCCAGAAATTAGTGATCAGTATAAATTGAGATTGAATTTCTAAATGATGGATCCATCATTCAGTTTATATTCTCTTTCTTGATGCACCAACAAAATGATAATGAGATTCAGCAGACACTCGTTTTCATTAAACGGGTTATAAAATTCCGCAAATTCATTAAAAGAAAAATCACGAGATGAAAAAAGCTACTGAAAATTCATCTTTAACCGATTATTAAGCCAAGCAGGCGAAATCATTTACTTCACTCGAGTTTCATTTCCATTTTCCACATGGATTCTTAAGGACCAAAAGAAATTAACACGATGAAAGTCGACACAGCTTGCGAAAGAGAATTCGAAAAAAAAAAAAAAAAAATGATTGTTGCATTACTCTTCAAAAAATCATTATCAGTATAAACAGATACTGAATTTCCATAACTGACAAATCCATCATTCAATTTATATCCCCTTCCTTGTTTCAGCAACAACTTGATAATCCAATTCAGCAGAAAATGAACCTCAGTTTTATCATACAGATACCAAAATTCCCCAGAACTTCAAAAGAAAGAAAGAAAAGAGAGAGAGAGAGAGAGAGAGAGAGAAGAAACAGCTACAGAAAATTCCACTTCAAAAAATAATTAAGCCAAGAAGTAGAAATTATTTACTTCAATCTGAGTTTCGATTCCAATTTCCACAAGGATTCTTAAGAACCAACGTAATTTAACACAATATAAATCGTAACAACCTGACAAAGAGATTTCGAACAAACAGATAATCAATTTCAGAAGAAAAATCAGTTTCATCCAATAAATTGCAAAAATTCCCAAGATTTTCAATAGAATGAACATGAGAAAAAGCTGAAAAATCCATTAGCCACATGGATTCTTAACCAAATGAATTTAACAAAGGCTACAATCAGTACTTCAAAATCGCAAAAATCATTTACTGAACAAATTAAGATAAAAAGCATCTACAAGAGCGCTAATTTACGCACAAAATTCACACTTTCTTCAGTACATTCACTTCATTTTCATATCTATGAGCTCATCACAAGCTTGCTAAACCCGATCCACAAACAGATTAATCAAAAAATGCAATAAAAAAGAAGGCAAAAAATCGATTACAGGTCGAGGGCTCAAGTAAATAGTACCTTACGAGTTACGAGGCAAAATATCTTTTTCCCGAGCTTCAAGCGTAAACATAATAGGATAATAAACGCCAGAAAATGAGACAGATATTTATAGGCCGCTGTATCCGAGTTTGTTAGCTCGGACGTTGGGTTCGGACGAGCGCGCCCACTGATTCGTGAACACGTCTTTAGTGCTATAGTGTTCAACAATTGTACATTGCGCATTGTTGGTCGTACCTCACATGTCAAAATTGTGAATGAAATAAGTCTTTCGTGAGCTAAAGTGCTCAACTCGTTTAATACTCGTATAATAATTTAATAAACAAGCCGAGTCAGTTTTACTTGTAAGATATTGTTATGACCGTAGGCTCCAAACTTTAATTTTTTACATAATTAATATATTGGTCTATTGTTTATTGTGGTCTCTTGAGTCAAAGTTATATTTTTGTGTTGTCCTAGAATAACCCAAACTAATACTCGTATTACTGTATTTCCAATCATGAATTGGTTTAAAACATGTAACATACACATTTATTTATTACTACAATATTATCAAGCAAGTATGGTACATGGCTAGAGCGTGTATCTGGTCTTTGGCCCACAAGAAGAACTTTAACAGAGAACTAAAGGCCCAATTTACATACTAAATAATTGCAGAAACCTAAGTTAGCCGTAGGCCTTGGCAATGGCCCATTCAACATTCCATGCCCATTGGTGCTCGGAGATTTCATGCCCACAAGTTGCCCCCAATATTTTTTCGTACAATATTTTTCTGCTGTTGAAACTTTTCGTGTTTTGTTAATGAATGATTCGATTTGGTTCTCTTCGTTGGTGGTGTTGATTTTAAAATTTGATTTGTGAATGAACCATTATGTTATCAATTGTAAGGTTAAAGAAATGGATGTGAAGGCAATGGATGCTGGAGAGTTCACCGAAGAGAGCAAGAATTTGGGAAAGACAATCGATGCCGGTGAAGGGTTCAACAAAGAGGGCAAGAGTTTGGGGGATAAAAAGTCGTTGAAGAGACCTATTGATGCCATTGATGATGATGGTGGTTGTGGTGGTGGTGATGATGAAAATCACTTTCCCGTCTACGACAAGGATGGTCGTATAATTGTAATGACAATCCAATATGAGTTATTTCCATGTTTTATTATTGTTTACTTATTTAACCGTTATTTTTGCAGATTTATTCAGACATCTTTATGACTTTTGAGGTATGAGCATCATTTTATTTTCCTTTCCACTTTCCCGTAACCTGGATTAACTTAATGATAGCGATATATGTGTATGGATGGAAAGAAATGAATTCGTGTTGGTTGGTATTTCACTTTACGAAGGAGTATGTTTTCATAACGATTGGTGCAAGTGTAATTAACTTTTGTCTTATTTTGGTATATTATTCGTTCTTTTGGAGTTTTAAATGCTATTCATATTGATTAATACTTTTCAAAATGTAAAAATAACATGAACAACTTACTTTTTGACATGTGTAAGTAATACCTGTCGCGTAATTTGTGTTTTCCCACAGCTTAATCAAATCTTTGCTGATAGTATCTATAAGCATCTAGTATTGATAAGTTACAAGTTGGTTAGTATGTCACATAGAAATTGGCAGTGAAAAAGACTGCATGAAAGCCAATCTCCTTAAAAACGAAACAATTTCTTGTTTTTATAGGACGAAATGTGCATTTGTGTAGTACAAAGAGAGTACCAAAGACCGTATGGCTCTTATCCGGAGTGACAACTACTTTATTCATGCGTCCGAATGAGAAAATAAGGAGACTATTATAAGGTTGGTTGCCACATGTTATGGTGGTGCATATTATCAAATTTTTTAGCATTTGAGAGATTTTCTTTTTAATGATTATAAGAGCAGAGATTTTGTTGTGGTCTTTTATTTTTCTCATCTTTTGGCGTGAGGAGAGCATTAGTAGCAGAATAATCGCGTATTGTGTTTTTGTTTTTTCTAGTCTTTTGGCAGGGAGCCATTGGCTCCGTCGGAGCTTCTTCTGAACAAGCTTTCGGTTGACATTAGCTTTCATATTTCGAAGACGAGAACTGGATCTGACTTGTGGCTCTTCTCCACCCCCACGAGCAGGGTTGTTATCGACCTTGAGAGGGACATTATTTTTCGGCATTTTTTTAGCTAGGATCCTAGTTCCTTATGGCGAGAGAAGATTAATTGTAGAGATAAAATAGTTGATTAAAGAGAAGAATTGATAATTGCAATCGAGAAAGTGTTGTGTTTTGGTAACGATCCAATTAAATTTGCATGTTGCCTAACATAACTCAACTTACATATTAAATAATAATAAATGAAATAGACAATCACTTTTCAGTTTAAATCGAACTTTCTTTTACTTTTGCTAATAAAACTAATGTTATATATTTCCGCAATAAATGTTGGAAGGATCGTTCCTAGAGTAATTTTCTCAATTGTAAAATAGACATACAATGTCATTTATTCGGCTAGAGTGTATATGTGGTCTTCGGCCCACAGGAAGAACTTTTGCAGAGATCTATAGGCCCAATTTACATACTAAATCATTGCAAAAACCTAAATGAAGAAGGGACATTTACATTCTTGCGTTTATGATTTGTAAATAATTGCGTATATACGATCAAAGAAAATATATTGCACTGTTACCATATCTTGAGCAAATAATTAGGAACATGCATGTTATCAGTTTATCAAAATAAAAAACGAATTCACTTCCTTGATTTCCGTAACTGAAACCGATTACATTAAGTTCCAAAAATAAATACATCTGATAAAGATGGGGAGAACGTGTGAAGACTAAATGAATGAATAACAACTTGACGGAAAATTAGGAAGACTAAAATGTTAACGGCGTTGCATAAGAATATATACAATATATAAACATCACATATACGGTCTTGAAACAACAGCAGAGTTGCAGCCTGGTATACTGTAAGTATATCATTCATTCACATGTACATAACATAATCGTGTTATATACTTAATATGTACGAACACAATTGTGTTATATATTAAATACGGTAAAACAATATAATAATCGACCAAAAAAAGAAAAAACAAATTGCTCATTTTTCATCTCATATCAATTTCCTCATCAAAGAATTTGCAAACAATACCTAACATAAACGGTAAATATATATCAAATAAACATTGAAAACAAATCTGATCGGAACTATCTGCGTGCTAACAACACGAAAGCTCCACAAAAACTGAATTATTACTTAATATATACGTACATAATTGTGTTATATAATAAATAACGAAAAACAACATAACCAATAATCAACCAAAACATCTTCTAATAAACTGAAATAAATGTTGAAACACATAGACTCACTATATACTCCACATATACTGATAATATATTGTATATATACTCAACATATACTGCTCGTTCGCTGCAGTACTTTTTCCTATTGTTCTTGCAAATTGCTCCAACCTTGCACCTCCTTCACTTGTGATATAGCCTTTGGCGTGTCGGGCTGGAACCGTCGGCCCCTCCAATATTATCTTCACCAACGATGCTCGCGTTAAGCCGCCGATCCTCCGCCTCGAGAACGAGATCTGATCAGTCGCACCTTCTAGCACCACCGTGCACCCATCAATCACGTCAACTCGATCAGTCACGCAATGATTTTTCATTGTGTGTGAAGAAAAGAGCGAGAGGGGCGAGGAGGTGAGGTAACGAACAAGAAGAGAAAGGGAGAGATAGAGAGAGAGAGAGAGAGAGAGAGAAATCTCTTATCATATGCATTGGAGATGGTTTTTTGGAATTGATACGTTTCTTTAATTAATAAATAAAATATTCCTTAACTGATGGATAAATTATGTGGTATATCTACACATAAATATATAATTTACTGTTATGTTGCTATTATTTACATAAGGCGTGTAATTTTGTAAATAAAATTGTAATATAATGTGTAGGGAGTAATTTTCTCTTTCATTTAGAAAATTACCTTTTTAATTTGAAACAAGATAATATACTTAACATACCTTTTAAATTTTACAAGTTCTTGTATGAGTCGACCCTATCATACTTTTGAACAAAAACGTCCCTTTATACTATTAAATGTGACAATTTTGTTTACATATATTTTTAAAGTATGACATTGTTTAATAAAAAATACATATTTGTAGTAGAAGTTTGTAAATTTAATGGTTGATCCTTTTTAACATAAGATCTCTTGTTTTTATTTATATATTGATCTAAAAAATCATGGGTTAGAAATAATGAACCAGTAAGCATTATAATAAAGTAAAAACTAGTATTCGATTCTGTGCACATGCACATATATTTAAATTATTATAAGTTACATGTATGTGTGTAATATTAAAATTATAAGTATAATAACACATAGTATCACATTTGAAACATTTTATCATTAATAAAAATGATTATAAAAATATTCAACTTCATTACTATATATTGATTGCATAAAATGAAATATATAATGTAGTTTTTATATATTTGAGGGATCGTGACCTATTAATTATATTAATAAGTATTATTATTATTATTTACGAAATTTTTAAGAGGTTTGGTTATACCACTAAAGCCAAATTAGCTTATTAAAAAATGCTTAAGAGTAATAAAAAGTTTAAGAAAAAGTTTTGCAATATAATTTTTTATACTTGTTGAACTTCCATATATCATTTAGTATGAATTATAATTGGTTAGTTTTAGTAATAACTATTATAAAATAAAATATATAAAAATATAATTGCATTTTAATTAACCATTTTTTTTTTAAAAAAAGTCATCGATTAAATTTCAGTTAATGGTTTACAAAAAAAAAAAAAAAATATTGGATTGTAATGAAAAAGACAAAAAATTAAAATAATTAAATTTATTTTATTAAAATATTTTTGTTATATATATAATTGTTTTATTAAATATTTTTTTGTTATATTGAATAATTTGTTTATTAAATATTTTTGGTTATATATATATATATGTAATTTTCATTTGATTAGTGAGTTGTTTAAGATTTTAATTAAAATATAAAATAAAAATAGAGTAAATATATATTTGTAATTTCTTTTGGAGGGAACATAAATGAGGTTTTATTAATTGCTTTGCTAGCAATTATATATATATATATATATATATATATAGATAGCACAGTTTCGAACCAATTTGTAGATGATTGTATAAGTATGGGCTAGCATTGTCTTTCTCAAAATAAAAATAATTTTGGAGTAATTGGTACTAAAAATCACACATACAAATGAAAAACAAAGTTCTTTAACTTGTGAGGAGTGCAAGCCAGTCAAACCTAATTTGAGTTCGAGGCCTTAATTATAAGTTGAGATCAGCTCGACTCGTTAATTAACAAGCTGCTAATCGAATTCGAGCCCGACTTACTTATCAATATTAACGAGATGAGCTCGAACATTATCGAACCAATTGAGTCTGACTCGTTAACTAAACAAACTTTAAACTAAATTGAGTTTGACTCATTTATCAAATGAGTTCACCCGAACTCGAGTTTTAAGGAGCGTAACCAATTTTACGAACAGTTCGTTCCGTCTAATTATTGAATGTAAACAATTTATTTATTTATAGGCCAAATTGCACATTTGTAAGTAGATAAAAGAAACATTGAATTTTTGGAAAACAAATTGGAGGTGAATAAAAAATTAATAAATTAGATGGACTGCCTTGCAATTATTATACACGCTCTTTCATCTCTTTGCCCGGTACAGTTTTGTTACCTCTATTCTATGCTCTCTGTACAAGCTGAAACATCACAAAATAGAAACCAAAAACCCAAACTATTTCAAAAATCACNAGAAACCAACAAACTATATATCATTGAAGGTAAGTTTTTTCTTTTATTTTTTTGTGTTTTTATTTTTGTTTTGTTTTGTTTTATTTTGGTGTTCTTAAAAGATTTATAAACGAGATCTTAACTTCCATTTTCTTGTTTATGTTCTTGAGTGTTTCGAGTCATTCTTTGCTTCCTAATGATGAATATGTTTAATTATCCCCTATATTTTGGATCATGCTTGTTGCCTGTGTTCATTTTTGTAACAAATTCCTTTCTTGTATTTTATACATTTTTCAACGTTTCATTTGGTAATTTATGTTTAACTAACATGTACTGTTTTGCTTCATTTTTTGCTAGATGTGGTTAACTAGTCCCTTTCTTGTATCTGTAAATGTTTAATTTGGTAATTATTTATTTATTTATTTGTTTGTTTATATTACATATTATGTCGAGAAAAGTGGAGAATCCGGTTCAACGTCAAAAAAAGGAAAAGGATTAACAGCAGCGGTGGAGGAGAAACCCGATCCTTGAGCTTGACTACATTATTACCGAAAAAGTGACGGGGTATACAAATACTTTGAGACAATTAAGGGCGATGTTGGGGGAACAAGGAGGTGAAATAGTGGAATTCACACTCTGCCAAGTGAAGCTGGGAAAGGGAAAGCATTATATGTAAAATTACATCTTAGATGTGATACGTCAAGTTGCATACTATTTATGCGTGCCTCGGATTTATACGTCATTGGCTATGAGAGTGAGGTGGAGCTGGAGTCTTTGAAGCCCGATAAAGAGAGAGCACAAGAGATAGGTAAATATTTTGCCAACCGTGACCTTCGTGGAAGAGTAGAGGAGCCTGAAGTTCGACCCTTGAGTTTTAAAAGAAGATTACAACTCTCTCATAAAGACTTCGAGTTACCATACGCTACATGGAATACCACTAGGATTTTCAGCTTCAGAAAGGCTGTGAAGATTTTGGGTGGTAAATTTGACAGCGAAAAACAAACGATATTCATATTTTTAGAAGCGACTCGTTTTACAAATCTCGAGAGTTATATAACCATTAATTTAAGAATGATGTGTGTAAGCACCGAACCATATTTATATATGAGCTCGACTTTATTTTTCCAGAAATAGTAAATTCATAATTATGCCGTATTTAATTATTATAAATCACATAATTTATTAAGTCTTAAGTCTAAGCCATGCAGAAGACGTTCGAATTATTATTTCGAAAACGAGATAAAATTCTAAGTCTAAGTCTCAATTTAAATTTTAATCGATCATTAAAAAAATAAAAAAATTTATTTAATTCCTGAACGAGCCTAATTTTCGGGCCCATTAAAGTGAGCCATTTTATTCTATCCAACCGGCCCAATAATTTAGATCGAGCCGTTAAGTATTCGGTCTAAATGATATTTAATTTAACAAGCCCTAGTAGTAAATAATCAAGTCCAAGTAACGATTAATAACCGAGCCTATTTGTAAGAAGCCCAAGTCAAATATGCAAAGCCCAATGTTAAAAGCCCAACAAGGTCTTCCAACCCTAATCCTCCCACGACTATATATATCATCATCTTCTCCAAGCACACTTTATCCCTTCAAGAGCAAAACCCTAGCCCAATCTCCAAGTTCATCATCTTCTAGAACCTTCATCATCAAAATCCCACCATCTATTTTCCGGCGAGCTGCCGTCGGGTTCACACCGGAAAGAGCTCTTCCCGCCGGCGAGTCTCCCCAGCCACAGCCCACGGCCTTCACGCCGGCAAGCACCACTACCACCTGCCCTCCTTCACGGTGGCCAGCAACCGACCTCCTCCCAGCTCCGCTTTCCGGCGACCCCTGCTCGCTGCTCCAAGCCCAGCCCTGCTCGACGTCCGTCCGGCGACCACAACCCGTCGTCCTCCCAGCTCCGGCGACCAAAGCCCGTCGTCCTCCCAGCTCCGGCGACCCGAAACCGTGACGTCCGAGCCACCGGCGACCATTCCCAGTCGTTCGAGCCGGTTCCAGCCCCTCCTTCACGTCAGTTCGAGCCCACGCTGTCGAACCCGAGCTCCACCACGAGTTCAGCCCTCCACCACGCCGTCCAGCCGAGCTTCACACCACCACGTCGCAGCAAGCTCGTCTCGGTTCCGTCCAGCTCACAGATCCGCGAGCTTCAGTCCCGACTAGATTCGAGCCAAACCGGCAGCCCCGCCCCGGTTTCGAATACCCGATCTATTTTCCTAGCCAAGCTCGTTTTTCTGATTTTCGATCCAAATCCTTCGAGAGGTATAATGGCTTGAACTCCGACTCCATGTGCTTAGACGAGAATTATAGTTAATTATAAAAATGCTAATTGATGAGGTTGAGCTTGATTGAAGTTAATGTGAATTCATTGAGTTAAATGGCATTAAATTTAGAATTAAATGAGTATTGATCCAAAAAATGCAAAACCAGATTGATAAATCCTATCTAAATGTCTTCAAGCTTATGTTTTAATTTCGTGAATTTTGGTGCCCGTTTGCTATATGAACCAGATTTTAGAATATAGTGTCGAAATGTCCGATTTTCGTTAAATGAGTTAGAGACTTCAAAAAGCTGTGATATTTTTACCATATATTGTATAAATTCTGAAGAGGTTGGGGGTTAAATTTTCATGATTTTTGGATGTCATTTGATATGATTAAAAATTCGAGACTTTAGCCTCATTTTACGAAAATTCTAAAAATTTATCCGGGACTTAGCTGCGGGCTTAAAATCACTATTAAGCATATTGAACTTAGGGTTAAAAGTTTCGACTTAAATTGAGTAATTTTGCCCGGATGAATTCTAGATTTGAGTAGAAAAGTTGTGCGTCGGCGAAGCTGTGTCCGTGCGTATATACCCGGACTACAGTTGAACCGAGGTGCACCTAGTCAGACAAGCGGCCAGTTTAGATCGAGCTGCCGGTCCAGTTCAGCCGAATCAGTCTGGACGATTTGAGAGATTCAGTTCGGAATATCGGTTTGAGCGTGAATTGAGATTCATTATTTTTCCAAACCCAGTCACATTAGTAAAAGTCAGATAAGGCCGTTCAAATAAGTCAGATAAGCCAGTTTAGATAAAGCAGATTAGTAAGTTCAAATTAGAACCAGATAAGCATTCCAGACTTAGAAATAACTCAGAGAACTCTAGAAATGCCTCAAGACAATAAGAGCATGTTTGTTTATTAAAAATTTTCAAAAATATTTCACATTTTAACTCAGTCACTTTTCTTAACTCAACTTTAACTCAACCCCACTATCAATAATATTATTAATATAATTAAATAATATCAATCAATCATTTATACACACCACATCAACCTTAATTCACTATTCATCCACTCACATTATTTTAACTAACCACCACTTCAATCATCTCTCTCATACTTTTACATCAAATCAATTTTAATTTTTTTATTTCAAATATTATTTTAATATACCCACTAATAACTAACCATAACATTTTTTCAAAATTAACCAAACCAAACCAAAAAATTCAAACAAAACCAAAAATTTTCATAAACAAACATGCTCTAATTTCCCATATTAGCTCATAAATCCTCTAAATCGAGATCAAATAATTTTAAAATCGAGCGAGCGAACTTATTAAGATCAGATAATAAGAATCAAGCTTTTCAGTTTGAGCCTAGTACTTAGAGTATTTCTGCTCAAACGTTATGTAGCTTAAGGAGAGTTGAGAGCCTCCGGTAGCTACCTTCATTCAGTACTTGCCTATCAGCTGATCAGGTGGGGTCACGTACTGAGCATTACATTGTCATTAATATCCTTACCATGACTGAGGTATGTATATATGAGAATAGTATCTTCTAAAGGGGGCCCAATAGTGCCCTAATGATTCTTAATCAGGATACCACTAGGTCTTAATGGGGCCCAATTGCCTTAATGTCTTTTAATCAGGGTCCTATTGGGGTGTACACGATTACCGGTCAGCTACCGGGAGATAGCAGTTCCAGTTCCAGATCAGTTTACTTACTTATATGCTTATTTCATGATATTGTTATTATTAATGTTGTTATATTCAGTACTGATTTCTGCGGAGCATAGTGGTTTTGCTCACGCCGCCACTACCTTTTTTTTTCGGTGACGGAGTAGTGGACATTTTATTACGAATGTCATGTCATTTATTTGCACATGTATTATTTATCATGCGTGTACTTATTATGTTTAAGTTTTCGCATATTCAGATTAGTATGAGACTTTAGACTTGTGCATGTATAATGTCTTTATCTCCATGGTACCTTTATATAATGGATTGATTCGGTTGCATGTATTTATTATGACTGCATGAGAAAGAGATAAGAACATCCCGCGAGTTAGTAATCGCATTTTTGAAAATAAAAATAACATCCCGCGAGTTAGTAAAGTGTAATAACATCCCGCGAGTTAGTAATAGCATTTTTGAAAATAAAAATAGTGTTTTTCGAAAATAAAAAGCAAAAATTTAAATCTGATTTTGAAAATTCTAGAAGTAGTAAGCGGGGTGTTACAGTTTGATATAGTTTGATATCAGAGTGCAGATAGCGTTTCTGTATACTTAAGAGTTTTGAAAAGCATGACCACGCCATGCTCACGCCGCGCCAACTTCGAGGCAAGTCGTCTAAACCAGTTTATTTTTGCAAGTGCATAAGCATATAGCATGAGATTAGGGGCATAGAATCTATCCTCCGAAGAGAAATAAAACCCTAGACATAATTTTAGAAAGTTTAGCTAAGTACAAACTCTAGACTAAATCAAAACTCGAGCTAGAAATTAGAAGAGTTAAGTATAAATCGAAACTCTAACCAAGCTAGGTGTTCGGCAATTTGTTAAATCTCGAACTCTTGTTATTTTTTTTTTTTGTTTTTATTATAAATTATGTCGAGAAAAAGTAGAGAATCTGGTTCAACGTCAAAGAAAGGAAAGGATTAGCAGCAGCGGTGGAGGAGAAACCACGATTCCTTAATCTTGATTACATTATTACTGGAAAAGTGACGGAGTATACAAACCCTTTGAGACAATTAAGGGCGATAATGGGGCCACAAAGAGGTGAAATAAGTGGAATTCACCCTCCACCAAGTGAAACTGAGAAAGGGAAAGCATTTTATGTAACATTGCATCTTAGATGTGATATGTCAAGTTGCATACTATTTACGCGTGCCTCGTATTTGTACGTCATTGGCTATGATAGTGAAGTGCAGCTGTTGTCTTTGAAGCCCGATAAAGAGAGGACACAAGAGATGGATGCAAATTTTGTCAGCTCTGACCTTTGTGGAAGAGTAGAGGAGACTGAAGTTCGACCCTTGAGTTTCATAGAAGATTATAACTCTCTCATAAAGACTTCGAGTTAGCATACGCTACATGCGATACCATTAGGATTTTCAGTTTTGAGAAAGGTCGTGAAGATTTTGGGTGGTAAATTTGACAGCGAAAAATAAACTGACACAAAAATTCTCAAACTGATATTCACTTTTTCAGAAGTGACTCGTTTTACAAATTTCGAGAGTTATATAACCATTAATTTTAAGAATGATGTGGGGTCGGTTTGGATGTATATTTGGTTATATGATTCGATTTATTATTAGGATAAATTATTCCAGGTTTTCATTAGCGAGACTGCAGAAGAAACCTCATTCTCGTGGACATGAAGCTAAGTTAGGATCTGGACCTGAGGATATCGTGGAACAAACAATGCAGATTGTTGCAATTATGCCCAACCCTATGTGATGCTTGCAAGAGGCTAGGTTGAGTTACATTATGATGTTTTCATGTAGTGTGTATGGTCAATAGTATTAGTTTTGTTATTTGATTGACCATACACACTGCATGAAAACATCATAATGTAACTCAACCTAGCCTCTTGCACGCATCACATCGGGTTGAGCTTAATTGCAACAATCTTCCTTGTCCTACAATCTCTAAATATCAATTCTCAGGTCAAGGTCCTAACTTGAGCTTCATGTCCACGAGAATGAGATTTTTTCCTGCAGCCTCTAACTTGGGATAATTTACCCCAATAATAAATCTAATCATATAACCACTTATCCATCCCGAACCGAACCCACATCATTCTTAAAATTAATGGTTATATAATTCTCGAGATTTGTAAAACGAGTCGATTCTGAAAACGTGAATATCAGTTTGAGAATTTATGTGGCAGCTTGTTTTTCGCTGTTAAATTGGCTACCTAAAATCTTCACGGCCTTTCTCAAAGTTGAAAATCCTAGCGATACCGCATATATCATATGGTAACTCGAAGCATTTATGAGAGAGTTATAATGTCTTTTGAAACTCTAGGGTCGAATTTCATGCTTCTCTACTCTTTTACGAAGGTTACGACTGGCAAAATGTTTATGTATCTCTTGTGCTCTCTCTTTATGGTGCTTCAAAGACACCAGCTCCACCTTATTCTATAGCCAATGACGTACAAATCCGAGGCACACATAATATATGCAACGTGACGTATCACATTTAAGATGCACTTTTACATATAATGTTTTATCTTTCCCAGCTTCACTTGGCAGAGTGTGAATTCCACTTATTTCACCTCCTTGTGCCCTCAACATCACCCTTAATTGTCTCAAAGTGTTTGTATACCCCGTCACTTCTTCGGTAATAATGTAGTCAACCTCAAGGAATCGGGGTTTCTCCTCCACCGCCGCTGTTGCTAATCCTTTTCCTTTCTTTTTGAACCGGATTCTTCACTTTTTCTCGACATAATTTGTAATATAAACAAAAAAAATAAAAATTACCAAATGAAACATTTACAGATAAAAGGGACTTGTTAACCACAGGTAGCAAAAAATGAAGCAAAACACAGACTAGTTAAACAAAAATTATCAAATAAAACGTTGAAAAATGTACAAAATACAAAAAAGGGATTTGTTAAAAAAATTAATACAAACACAAAAGAATGACCCTATAACAGGGACTAGTTACACATATTAACCATTAGGAATCAAAGAACGACTCAAAACACTTTTAAGAACATAAACAAGAAAATGGAAGCTAAGATCTCGTTTTTACATATTATAAGAACACCAAAATAAAAATAAAAGAAATATAAAAAACACACAAAAAAATAAAAGAAAAAATCTCACCTTCAATGTCTATAGCTTGCTGGTTTCTTGAAATCGTTTGGGTTTTTGGTTTCTATTTTTGTAATGTTTCAGCTTGTACAGAGAGCATAGAATAGAGGCGACAGAACTGTACCGGGCAAAGAGATGAAAGAGCGCGTATAATAATTGCAAGACAATCCTCTAATTTTTTAAGTTTTTGTTCACTTCCAATTTGTTTTCCAAAAATTCAATGTTTCTTTTATCTACTTACAAATGTGCAATTTGGCCTATAAATATATAAATCGTTTACATTTAATAATTAGACGAAACCAGGTGTTCGTAAAATTGGCTATGCTCCTTAAAACTTGAGTTCGGTGAACTCATTTGATAAATGAGTCAAACTCAATTTAGTTTAAAGTTTGTTTGGGGGTGTATTTAATTTGGATTTCTAAGGACTTTTTAGATTTGTTAAGATTTGTTAAGATTTTTTAAGATTTTTAAAATGGGGTATTCAACTGAGATTCTAAAAAGTCTTACAAAATTCTGAGGTATTTAATTTATTTGACACTAGGATTTATTAGGACTTTTTAAGATTTAGTGGGATGTTTAAACAAAAAAACCTTATACGAAATCTTACTTCAAATCCTACCTTAGATGAATATTTCATAAAATTCTCCTAAAATCTGAAAATCCTAAAGTCTCAAATTTAAAGTCTTAAAATGTCATTTAAAATCTCAGATGAATACACCCTCCTTAATTAACGAGTCAGATTCAACGTCGACAATGTTCGAGCTCATCTCGTTAATATTGATGAGTAAGCCGGGCTCGAATTCGATTAGTAGCTTGTTAATTAATGAGTCGGGCTGATCTCTCCGTTCATTAAGGCCTCGAACTCAAATTAGGTTTGTTTGGTTTGCACTCCTCACAAGTTAAAGAACTTTGTTTTTCATTTGTATGTATAATGATTAGTACAAAAAAATTAAAAGTTTCAACTTGTACAGAGGGCATAGAATAGAATAGAGGTGACAGTACTATACCGGGCAAAGAGAGAAAGAGCGCGATACCTATAATATAATTGCAAGGCAGTCCCTCTAATTTTCACATTTTTTTATTCACCTCACCTCTAATTATCTATTTGTTTTTTAAAAATTCAATGTTTCTTCTATCTACTTTAACAATGTGCAATTTGGCCTATAAATAAATAAATCGTGTATATTTAATAATTAGACACAACCAGCCGTTCGTAAAATTGGCTACGCTCCTTAAGAACTGAGTTCGGATGAACTCATTTGATAAATGAGTCAAAACACAATTTAGTTTAAAGTTTGTTTAGTTAACGAGTTAGATTCAACTTGGTTCGACAATGTTCGAGTTCATCTAGTTAATATTGATGAGTAAGTTGGGCTGGAATTCGATTAGTAGCTTGTTAATTAACGAGCCGAGCTGATCTCAAATTATACATATCACGGTGTAACAGTGTTAAAAAATTATACATATCACGGTGAATTCATATATTAAAAATTATATGAAAGTTGGGCTGCCAACTTTCATATATCAACTGTTTATTTGTAACAAATTTAATATATGAAAGTTGAAACAAAGGGAGTGCCACGGCTAATTGCAGTTAGGGCTATTGGAGCTCGGAGATTTACTCCCAAATTGGACAGGTTAACCTAATTTTTGATTTTCTAGTGCCTCTCTCACCAGAATTTCATTGATAGCACAGATTGCAATCACAAGGTAAATCCTATTTTTCGTACAATATTTTTATGCTGTTGAAACTTTCGTGTTTTTGTTAACAGATGATTCAATTTAGTCCTCTCTCCCTCTCTCTCTCTCTCTCTTTCTGTGTCTCTCTCTCTTCCCGTTGGTGGTGTTGATTTTAAAATTTGATTTGTGAATGAACTATTATGTTACCAATTGTAAGGTTAAAGAAATGGATGTGAAGGCAATGGATGCAGAGGTTGGAGACTTCAACAAAGACGACAAGAATTTGGGAAAGGCAAAGGCAATCGATGTAGAGGGTGAAGGGTTCAACGAAGAGGGCAAGAGTTTGGGGGATAAAAAGTCGTTGAAGAGAGCCATTGATGCCATCGATGATGGTGGTGGTGATGAAGACAGTGATGAAGATGGCTTTCCCATTTACCAGGATGATGGTCAACTAATTGTAATGATAATCCAATATGGGTTATTGCTACATTTTATTATTGTTTACTTATCTTGACCATGTTTACTTATCTTAACCATTCTTTTTGCAGGATTGTTCGAACATCAAAAATACATTTGAGGTATGACGTACATTATTTTCTTGTCCTTTCCTTTGTTAGAGAAGGTAATCCGAATTAAGTTGGTGATAACACATTAATATTTACTGCTACAACCTTTGTAAGGAATGGAATGTCGATATATGTGGATAGAAGGAAAAGATTTCATGTTGGTTAGTATTTCACTTTACGAAGGAGTATCGTTTTCAGACAGATTGGTGCAAATATAATGAACGTATCTCGTTTCGTATATTGTTTGTTCTTTTCGAGTTTTAAATGCTATTCATGTTGATTAATACTTTTAAAATAAAGAACTTTTCATGTTTCAAATTGTAAACTAACATGAGCAACTTACTTTTTGTGTTTTCTCACAGTTTAATCTTTGATGGTAGTATGTATGGTAGTATTTATGGGCATCCACTCACTGATTAGGTACAAGTTCCGGGTTAGTATGTCACATAGAAAATGATGGTGATCTGTTTATCGATTATAATAACAAATTCATGCTGCTTGTATTCGGCTTAATATCTTGCCTCGAATTTTGGATATTGTGTCACTAATATTTCTGTTTTTTTTTTTAACCTTCTTACCACTTCAGTGCACTTAAGGTGATCTTTGTACCTTAGTACTATCTAGTTGACATTGAAACAATTTATAATTTCAACTTACCAATTGTAGTTGTTTGTAGAATCCAAATTTCAAGAACATAACTTCCAGGCTAGAAGGAGACGGTTCCCTTGCTGCACAATTTGAAAACATTCTAAATATTCTAAAAAAAAAAAAAAAAATATTANTTACCAGTGGTGATGCAGATGATTTTAGAAAGGTAGTGGAGGACGTCCTGGGGAATGATCATTTTCTTGCGGAGCTCTTTAGGGAATTTGAGGTATATGTTCTTTTCGTTTCTTTCGGCTCACCAACACTTGAAAAATACGTGCATGATAGCCAATCTCGTTAAAAACGAAATAATTTCTTGTTTTTATAGGACGAGTGGTGCATTAGTATAGTAGAGTATTGTGCAGAAGAAACTCAAAATCGGAGTAACGAAGAGTGCATAGCTCTTATCAGAGGTGACAACTACTTTAGTCATGCATCCGCAGGAGAAAATAATGAGACGGTTATGAGGTTGGTTGTCACATGTTATGGTGGTGCACATTATCAATCTTTTTAGCACTTCAGATATTTTCTTTTAATGTTATGGTGATTGGAATAGTCTCACAAGCAGAGATTCTGTTTTGGTCTTCTATTTTCTCATCTTTTGGCATGAGGAGCATTATTAGCATAATAATCGCGTACTGTAATTTTTTTCTCTTCTTTTGGCAGGAAGGCCCATTAGCATAATAGTCTCGTACTGTCTAAGTTCAGCTGACCTGGACAAGATATGGATAAAAGGTCACAATGATGAGGAGTTCCGTGGGAAGTTTGGGCTGACCTGGACAAGATATGGATTAGAGGTCACAACGATGAGTTCTGCCGGAAGTTTGGGCTGAAGGTTTTCAATTAGCGATACATGTAAAATCATAACTTTGTTATCTGATTGTAGACATTTTTTGGGCTGTGGTGATCTGATTTTCATAAGTTGCGGATTTTGCTTATAATTGTTTAAGACTATAATGTTGTATTGGTTTTACGATGTAATGAACGTGCTTTTGCTGTATCTGGGTGAAATGTTATATTGTGGTTTTGCTAGCAGAATGCACGAGCATCAAGACTTAACTGGTGGTATGTTATAATGTGTGTGAAATGTTATGATGTGGTTTTCTTAGCAGAATGCTCGAGCATGAAAGCTGAAAGACTGGTGGGAAATGTTATAATGTGGTCTCCTCGTTTTAGATAGATGCCGGGGGTTTGAATCACTCAGGGTTCTTAGAAAAATTTGAAACAAGTGAATGAATTATCATCCATAGATAAATGTCAAAACCTTGGAACTCAGTCGAGCATCTATACTATAGTGGCACTATATATGATGTTCTTCAAATACATTCTAATAACGTTGTTCAAACAACACAAATCAATAAAAAATACCACTGCAGCATATGACTTGCTGAATATGCGTCATAGAACTATGACGGTTTCCTATGCTCTAAGCTTGTAATGTAATTGGAGGACAACGGACATTATTGCCAAAATCACACCTGCCAGAGCCCCTAACTCCTAAACCTTACTAACGACTTTATCTAAACCCGAGTCCCATATCAATACACGTGATTTTTATGCCTGCAAACCGCGTGTATTGTTACATGAAATGCACAATATCCACAATTAATGGCTCCAAGAATCCATTGTACGTTAAGTGGAAGTAGTCAAAACCATGGAACTTAGTCGAGCATTTATGCTATAGTGAAAATCTTTGGATTGACTCGGTGGAAGTAACCTAGCCAAGAGAGTCACATTTGAAATCAATTGTGCATATCAATTAAGAGAAATTATACTTACCCAATAGTGATCTTTTCTTACAAGAGTTGTGAGTAGTACTGTTCACATAAACAAGATGACTGATCGCAATTCTCAAGTCTGAGGCAGAGCAAAGGACGTATGGTACTTCATGCAGCAGTGCTTCAAATAATCAAAGCCAACAACTTGCTATTCCGGCATAGTTTCATAAATTTTTAGTTCATTCGAAAAGCATGATTGCACATCGGTGTAAGGCACACAAAAATCAGGAACAAGTATTTAAAAATTCAACAAGAAATCCATGCCATGACAGTGAAATGAAGCTGCAACTAATTTCCATAGCCAAAACCGAACAACAAAGCACTAATAATTTTGTTAGTGAGGTAGAAAACTTTGTATTTCCACGGAAAGCTGGATCCATAGGACTCTTCCAACTTACACTCAAAACTAGCTGATATACCCAAGATCAATGCAAACACCAATACACCATAAAAGTCTTTTCACCTTAAATATGCAGACACTACAAAGCGACGGTAAACCACCACCTGCCACAAATATGTAGGGTTTTGCCAAGACTTCATATCTTCTCTAGTTCTCACCCAAGGAGGACCTTGAGAATGTGATACAAACAAAAGGAAAGGATTTCTCACATATATCCAAAATGGTGGATTATAACATCTTTAATTGCAAAATAAAGTGAACAGATGCATCCATTTGATTGGACATTCTCCAAAACATTAATGAAAGCATGCTCTAGTTCAAGTTTTTGAACATCATACTCAAAGTCTACAAGAAGTCATATAATCCCCTTTTGAACATCCCACCATGCTCCACCAGTCGAGGAGTATAATTAAGGAATAATACTTGAAACTATGAGGAATATAACAACTTATACAAGATGAACACCCTTTTGAAAATCACTCGTTGTACGAAATATCTACCAAATAGTTCCACTTTTTAGTGCATCGTCCTAGTTATTGCAGTTACACAACCGTACGAAATATTTTACCTTGTGTTTACAAATAAAGAGGGAAAAGTGGCAGGATTCCTACAATTAGAACAACACACATTCTAGTTAAGAAGTTATAAGCTAAATCGGGCTAACACAAAATTTAATCGCTACTACGTGCTATAAGCATTTTAAATATAATAATATTTTAGCTACCAGATTATCAGTAGCCGAGATGAGCTTTATTACATGTTAAATGGTGATAACTCATTGTTTTCTCTTACTCAATATAAGGCTGTTAATTCATTATCTCGTTCACATCAGTGACTTCCTCAATGTTTAAACTATAAAACATACAAATAGATAGAAACTAGTTAAAACAATTTCTAAATTCATGTGTCCAAGACGCTTCCAACAGTGCTCAATTGCATCAAACAATGGGATTTTTATTTGGAAATAACAATTGAAGAAGGGGTGATCAAAAACAGTTATCAATCTGGAGCATCGCATTGTTTAAGATAAACAACATTAAGCATTCTACTACTTAGAGTTGATTATGGGAAACATGACGAATGTCAATCGAATTTTCATGTTAAACATATTTAGTTTTCTAAAACAACCAGCTTTGAAAAAGGAAATGCATACATTCCTTCAAACTACAATACCTCCCCATCAATCATAAACAGTAATTTACCTGTGTAACCAAGTCCATTAATTGTCATATCGAATTTGGGATAAGCTAGCTACTAAGAGACCAGATTTTTCAAGAGTCATAGAGCATGAGAAATACCAACTGAAAGAATGGGTGAGAGAGGAGAAGACCACATCCATTCCTCCACGCACTGAAGTCATATCGAATTTGGGATTCCTCTCAAAGCATCGATTGACAGAATTTGTTAGGATAAAATCAACAAACAAAAATTGCCAAGATGCCAGGAATAAGATACCTGACAATAGAGGAGCTTCAGCTGCCCCCTTAATGATTCATAAGGCTCTTCTGTTCAACTTATGCAGACCAAGTAAATCGGTCCTTTAACAAGAAAAACAACCTGAACTTAAAAAATTCACATCGATAAATCTGGAATTTTACATATTACAAGACAGAGAAAAGGGACATTTCTCATTATTTCAAAAGTCATATACCACAGCCAAGTTTCTACTAGGACAACAAATGACTCAGGACAAAAGAATTTCTAATAGTAATATATACATCAACATAAATGTGTTGTAAAATTCAATAAACTTTCGGAATGGTTCAACCATAGCTTTAAATGGTCAATGGTACTCCAAGGGTATGCACCCATGAATGGCCACGAGGCAAGAGGCGACGCCTCGTCAACACAAGGTCAAACTGTAAAAGAGAATATAGATGGTGCAATTGTATATTTAAGGTCAAATGATAAAATAAACCTTCAATATCCAATGAAACACAATATTAGAAACAAAAATATACACAAAATGGAATTAGAACAAGAAACATGACATTACAAACATAAAATACAAGGAAAGAAATAGAAGGCAAAAAATAGAGGCAGAAAATTAAATTTGAAATTAAAAAAAAAATAGTTTGTAGGAATAAAACCACAACAAAAGTTCAGCCTAACTACAAAATACTCCAAAACATATCAAAACTAATTTTCCGGCTATCCCGGCTTAGTTTCAACAATTTATAGTTTCTACAAAGAGCGCAATTACATAAGAGAAGAGTAGCTATAAGTTCAATTGAAAGTACCGTCCACGGCTGCAACAAATTTCCGCAGCAAAAAACGACAAACAACGCATTACAAATTTCTTCATGTTATGCAACATGCATGATAACAACAAAATCAAAACTAATACCATTGACCATAATTGCAGCCTAACCTCTTCCACTCATCACATCGGGTTGGGCATAATTGCAACAATCTTCATTGCTTGTTCCACAATCTCTAAATATGCATTGCACAATTTTGAATCAATTTGTGGATGATTGTATAACTATATGGGCTAGCATTATCTTTCACAAAATAAAAATAATTTTGGAATAATTGGTACTAATCATTATACATACAAATGAAAAACAAAGTTCTTTAACTTGTGTGAGGAGTGCAAGCCAAACAAACCTGAGTTCGAGACCTTAATGAACCGAGAGATCAGCTCGGCTCGTTAATTAAACAAAATCGAGACTTACTTATCAATAATAACTCGAACATTGTCGAACCAAGTTGAGTCTGACTCGTTAACTAAACAAACTGTAAACAAAATTGAGTTTGACTCATTTATCAAATGAGTTCACCAATTTTACGAACGGCTGGTTCCGTCTAATTATTAAATGTACACGATTTATTTATTTATTGGCCAAATTGCACATTTGTAAGTAGATAAAAGAAACATTGAATTTTTGGAAAACAAATTCGAGGTGAATAAAAAATTAGAGGGACTGCCTTGTAATTATTATACGCGCTCTTTCATCTTTTTGCCGGTACAATTCTATCACCTCTATTCTATGCTCTCTGTACAAGCTGAAACATCACAAAAGTATAAACCAAAAACTCAAATGATTTCAAAAATCACGAGAGACAAAAAAAAAAAAAAAAGAAAGTAGAAAGAAACCAGCAAGCTATAGACATTGAAGGTAAGATATTTTCTTTTATGTTTCCGTGTGTTTTTTTATTTTTTTTGTTTTGGTGTTCTTAAAATATTTATAAATGAGATCTTAGCTTCCATTTTCTTGTTATGTTCTTGAGTGTTTTGAGTCATTCTTTGCTTCCTAATGGTTAATATGTTTAACTAGCCCCTTCATTTGGTCATTCTTTGTTGGCTGTGGTTAATTTTTTTAACAAACCTCTTTCTTTTGTGTACATTTTTCAACGTTTTATTTGACAATTTATGTTTAACTAGTCTGTGTCTTGCTTCATTTTTTGGCTACATGTGGTTAACTAGTATCTGTAAATGTTTCATTTGGTTTTTTTTTTTGTTATATTACAGATTATGTCGAGAAAAAGTGGAGAATCGGGTTCAAAGACTAAGAAAGGTAAAGGTTTAGCAGTAGCTGTGGAAAAGGAGAATCCCCGAATCCTTGAGCTTTACTACGTAATTACCGAAGAAGTATGAAGTGATGGAGTATACGGATATTTTGAGACAACTAAGGGCGATGTTTGAGGCACAAGGAGGTGAAATACTTGAAATTCCGACTCTGCCACGTGAAGATGGGAAAGGGAAAGGATTATATATAAAATTGCATCTTAGATATGATACATCAAGTTTCATATTATTCATGCGTGCCTCGGATTTGTACGTCATTGGCTACGAGAGTGAGGTGGAGCTGGTGTCGTTGAAACCCGACAAAGAGAGAGCACAAGAGATGGATAAACATTTTGCCAGCCGTGATCATAATTTCAACTTTGAGAAAGGTCACGGCTGGCAAAATGTTTATTCATCTCTTGTGCGGGCTTCAACGACACCAGCTCCACCTCACTCTCGTAGCCAATGACGTACAAATCCGAGGCACGCATAAATAGTATGCAACTTGACGTATCAGATCTAAGACGCAATTTTACATATATTCTTTTCCCTTTCCCAGCTTCACTTGGCAGAGTCGGAATTTCACGTATTTCAACTCTTTGTGCCAACATGCCCTTAGTTGTTTCAAAATATCCGTATACTCCGTCACTTCTTGGGTAATTATGTAGTGAAGCTAAGGAATCGGGGCTTCTCCTCCTCCACAGCTACCGCTAAACCTTTACCTTTCTT